TACCGTTTTTTGACTGAAGTATTGAAAAGAGTACCACAGGTTAATTTTTATGAGATCAGTGATGATAAGGATGTCATTTCTCCGAATGAAGCTTTAACCAATTCTGTATTCATATTTGACGATGTTGCATGTGAAAATCAAGTAAATATGCGCAATTATTTCTGTATGGGTCGGCATAAACAAATCGATTGTTTCTATTTATCTCAAACATATTCTAAAATTCCAAAACAATTGCTACGTGACAATGTTAACTTGGTTATAATATTTAAACAAGACGACGTGAATTTAAAGCATATTTATGAAGAGCATGTTAATTCTGATTTACAATGGAAGCAGTTCAAAAACATTTGTCAAAGTGTATGGAGTAAACCTTACAATTTTCTACTTATTAACAAAGAATCAACATTGAGTAATGGACGATACAGACAGAATTTTGATACGTTTTTTAAATTTGATTGAAATTATATATATATATATAGTTCACATATGCAAACAAAATCAGTATTATTTTTTCTTCAGCTAAAAGTAGTTGTTAAGTATTATAACATGGAGAAAAATATTAAAATAGAATTAATGAAGTCTATAGACTCCATAAAGAATAAAATAAAACAAATGAAGAGCCAGGAACATTCGATGAATTTGTCACTTGATAAAATGTTAAAACCTGTCACAGATCCCCTTAAAACTCTAGTTAATTCGAATAAAACAATAGCAAAAATCCAAAATTTAGAAGATTCACACCCCAATTCAGAGGGCATCGAATTGGATGACGTTAATACTAGCTCCTCCACAAGGTTTGAAGACTGCTACGAACCAAAACTGAATTCTGCACAAATTAAAAGGTCTCCCACATCAGCATTACCAGAAGATTTAGAAATTTCATTAGAGGGTCACGATATCCATGATATTTATGATGGTGTTAGTATACCATTTGGAATAAGAAGTGTTAACAAAAAATTCCTTATGGGTAATTCAATAGTTTCATTTTCTAAAATAGATAACTTGAATGACGATAGTGTGATTTTAATTAAAGTAGGTGACAAAGCCTACAATTTAACCCCAGGTTTAAAAGAACTTTTACTTCGAAGAAAACCTGATTTAAAATTAATAACAAGTAAAGATAAACTTGTGTATAAGGATATGTTGCATTATACAAATGCACATAAGAGAGATTTTAATCCTAATGGACAAATAAGAGGTGATAAAGGCATAAAATATCGAGAAATAATCAAACCATTGTTTTCCGAACCTTTGAAAAACAATAATGTTATCGGGTTGGCACAAAAGTAATGAGACACTTGGTTTAAGTTTTTACTTTTTTATTATTATTACAATAAAAAAAGTTTAGTCAATGATGTAATTACCATTAGTATCTAAGACTTCTTGCCAACGATCCGGCAAAGTTTGGATGCCTTTTGCCCAGAACTCTGATGGCTGTGCCTCGAAAAAGTTGTTCAACTCCGCCTCTACGTCAGAGAAATCATTAAATTGTTTACCCCGCAAATGCTGTTTCAGGGCTCTAAACAAATGATAGTCTGATGGGGCGAGGTCTGGGGAATAAGGTGGGTGGGGTATCGTCTCCCAGCCCAAGTTCTCCAACTGCCGGCGAACCACAGATGCGACGTGAGGTCGAGCGTTATCGTGCAGTAAAACTACATTGACTCGTCTTCGTCGTTTTTTCTTGATAGCGGCAGATAATTTGGTAAGCTGGGTTGAATATTTGTCAGCGTTTATAGTTTCATTGTGTAATAGCTCATAAAACAATATGCCTTGCGCATCCCAGAAACAGCAAAGCAGAATTTTTCGGCGGTTCTTTTGACTCGGCTTCGGTTGAGTTGGTGGCGTTTCTTCTCGAGGCAGCCAAAAAGCACGACGTGTATCGTTCTCGTAATAAATCCATGATTCATCTCCAGTAACCAGATCTGACAAAAACTCTTTACGTCGGGGGTCGCAGCAAAAGTGACTGACAGATAGCGACACGGACTGCACGACTGGCGTCTGTAAGGATGTGCGGTACCCACCGAGCCAAAACTTTTCGATAACCAAGCTCATACAGATGGTGTTCCACGGCGTGGTGACTGCATTTAAGTGCTTCCGCTAATTCACGAGTGGTAGCATCCGGATTCAACTGCAGTTCGCGGCGCAAATCGTCATCATTCACTGCGGGTGGTCGCCCTGAGCGTGGCTGACTTTCAAGGCTCCTGTCTCCTGATTTAAAACGGTCAAACCATCGGGACACCGTCGCATGGCTTGTACTTCCAGCGCCTAATGCATTGTTGATATTATCAGCCGCAGCCCGCGCACTGTGGCCTAACAAGTACTCGTATAAGTATAGTGTTCGAACTTGTCGCTCGTCCATTTTTCTTCAAACTGACTAAACAAATCGCGAGCGCGGCTTTATATACCCTACACCAGAAGTACCTAGAATGTTCTACAACATTCTAGAATATTATCGAAAAAATTGATTTTAAAAAGGAAATGTTATAGATTTTTCTAGTGTGTCTCATTACTTTTGTGCCAACCCAATACTTTTGGAGGTAGCTTACCGATGCTAAAGAGATACAGAAAAAATACTGACTTGGTATATTGGGATGATCCTAACGAGCTAGTTGACAGATTAAAACTATTAATTGCTTCTAGAGATGCCGGTAATACAAATCATGATAATGAAATTTTATCAATAATCGAAGAATTAAGAGAAGCTGACATAATTCAATAATAAATAATAATTATAACATGCTTTTCATTCAGTACTATATCGGAATTCAAGACACATATCACACATATAATCGTAAACATGAGCAAAAGTGATATGGTGAACGAAATTCATAAAAATGCGAGGGTAAACTATCCACGAAGACATGTTATCATGAAAGATATAGATGACTTGTGGCAAGCAGATTTAATAGATATGCAATCAATTTCAAAAGAAAATAAGAATTACAGATATATTCTTGCCGTTATTGATACATTTTCGAAATATGCTTGGACCTTTCCTATGAGAAGTAAAAGCAAAGAAGATGTGTGTAACGCTTTCAAAAGTCTGCTAGATAGAGGACGTATTCCTAAAAATCTGCAAACAGATAATGGATCAGAATTTTATAATAACAAATTTCAGAAACTTATGAAATCCTATCATATCAACCATTATTCAACTTTCTCGACGAAAAAGGCTTCAATAGTTGAACGATTTATCAGAACATTAAAATCTAAGGTCTATAAAGAATTCAGTTTAAAAGGCAATTACAATTGGATACATAATACGCTCAATGATGTTACTTATCGATACAATCACACTTATCATCGCACTATTAATGAAATGCCTGCTAAAGTAAACAACATAAATAAAAATATGATATTAAATAGGTATTTTAAGTTAATAAAAAATGAGAACCTAAGAAGTAAGTATCATGTAGGTGATTATGTGCGTATCAGTAAATACAAAGGAACATTTGAAAAAGGTTACACTCCCAATTGGTCAACAGAAATATTTAAAATTTGTAAAATACAAAATACAACTCCTGTAACCTACTTAATCGAAGATGCCAACAGAGGTCAGCCTATTTTAGGTGCATTTTATAAGCAAGAGCTTCAAAAAACAAAGCATCCTAACGTATATCTCGTCGAAAAAGTTCTTAGAAGAAAAGCTAACAGAGTTTTAGTAAAATGGTTAGGTTTACCATCATATGAAAATACATGGATTGATAAATCGAATATAATACTGTAACATTAACCTAATAACAAAATCATGGATGAATCGTTTAAATAGGTATTTATTAGTATGCTTAATCTACATTTATTAGTCATATAATGTGTTTTGGAGAGAGTAGTCTTCTAAATTGGCTTATAAATAATTTACCATTTGAATTACATTTACCGGGATATAATTATTGTGGCCTAGGTACAAAATTAATTAAAAGGCTTACACGGGGAGATAACGGTATTAACAAATTAGACGAATATTGCAAAAATCACGACATTGCCTATCACAAATCAACAAATTTGAGAGACCGGCACAAGGCTGATTTAATCCTTTTAAAAATGGCAAAAGATCGAGCAGTTTCTTCAGATGCGAGTATAGGTGAAAAAATTGCGGCATGTTTAGTAAGCAAGGCTATGTCGGCAAAAATTAAAACCGGTTCTGGCCTGAAGTCAAGTACCAAAAAGGTTTCTCAGAAAGGTTTATCTGAAAAAGGATTAAAATATAAATTGAAAAATGTTATTACTAAAACAAAAAAACATATTAAAAAATTAAAACCAAAGACCAGAAAAGATGCCATGGAATTAGCTATTGCCGCTGTCAGAGAATTAGCTGATAATTCATCCATTAAACTTCCTCGTGTAATTCCTATACCAAAAACTGGTGGTGTATTGCCCTTGATTCCTATATTTGCCGGTCTATCAGCGGTGGGAGCTATAGCTGGTGGTGCAGCTGGCATTGCTAAAACCATTAACGAAATCAAGATGGCTCAAAAGATGTTGATTGAATCGAAAAGACATAATGAAAAAATGGAAGCTCTATGTATTGGGAAAGGATTACAACTAAAACCACATAAAGATGGGCTTGGAATTTTTGTATCGAAACAAAAAAACTAAGATATCGGTTACCCAAAAGAGCCTTAACTAATTTCGATATTTTAAAGTATGGAAATAATATACCTTATTTTAGAGGAGTATTTATGAGAGATGAGCTCCCTAAATATCCTTTAAGGAAAGAATGTGGAGTTGTTAATTTAGATAGCTCTAAAAATACCGGTTCTCATTGGGTAGCCTATGTAAAATATAATGATTACGTAGAGTACTTTGACAGTTACGGAAATCTTAAGCCTCCAAAGGAATTCATAAAATATGTGGGTTCTAAAGTCCAGTATAATTATGATAATATACAGCGTGATCACCCATTTAATTGTGGACATCTCTGCTTAAATTTTTTACAAAAATTTTGGTATAATAAACGTTTAAAATAAACAGAATCTTTGAAATGCGTTCAATATGCGAGAATGTCTACAACAGTTACCATCTCCGGCAATACATCTGAATTGATTTCGTACTTTCAACCACCTCTGCATTTATCTGATCAATACGAGTGCGGATTGCTCTACTTTTCAGTAATAAATTCAACATCAAATGTGATTAGCAACCGCAATCTATCTATTATCAGAATCGAATGTGATCTTGTAAATGGTTCATACTGCAATGGTTTACAAACTCATTTTATTCATGAATTTGTGTCTGATACTGCTCCAGATCACTCTTATGTAGAAATACCACGAAGTATTATTTACTTTCCAATTAACAAAAATATAATACCCTGTATATCTGTTAGGATTATCGATCAGCTTGGTCATTGTATTAGCTTTGGAGAAAAACAAAATATTGAGTTACGTCTTCATTTAAGAAAAACAAAATGATAATATATAATAAAAACACTTCAGAAAAAATAAAACGTCTTATTCCAACTAAGACCACTAAAGTGCATAGACGCAAGAAAATAGTGAAGAAGTTGAGTGAAATAAATAAAGATTTTCTTAAAGCTCTAGGCTTAAAGGTATGAATATACTACAGATTTCCGAACTACCACACTTCGATACTTCAATAGAAAGTTATGAAATCCATTCATATAATCCCTACAATAACAGCTTTAGAGAAAACGATGAAATTAGAATCCCCATACACCAGCAAGACATATACGTGCTACCATCAGCCAGTTCAATTTACATCGAAGGCCAGGCAAAGCTGTATGGCAAAGATGGGAATCCGATCAAGAAAACTGTTACGTTTACTAATAACCCTGTTCTGTTTTTGTTCCAAGATATTAGGTACGAAGTGAACGGGATTGAAATAGATCGTATTAAAAATTCAGGAATAACGTCAACAATAAAATCATATATCTCATTAAATGAAGCAGAAAACAAAGTTGCCGCATTATGGGGTTGGAACTTGAATGGATTCCAAAATGATGGGCATTTTAGTTCTGTGATACCGTTAAATATCCTCTACTACCTAAAACCACAAAGCATTCTTGGTCAGTTAAGACAGCTTCACAATTGGAAAAGCCCCGATATGTCATATTTTGTTTACAAACTAATAGAAGAAATAATAAAATAAAGGACAGATTAGTAGGGTAATATTGGGCATTCTGTCCCCCACTCGTTCGTGTCGGCGTTTCGCCACCACTCACTCGTGGAATGACACACTGCATTAGTTCTTTAAATGATTTATTGTAAAATTCTGTTCCCATATCAGTTTGTAAGTGAACAGGAGATTGACCACTTGTTTTGAGAATTCTCTTAAACGCATTAACCACACATTTTCTCGGTTTTGACTTTAAGGGAATACCCCATGCATATTTGCTAAAGCAATCAATAACAATTAAAATATATGTGTAACCACTGTTATATTTTTTTAAAGATTTAAAATCAATTAGATCTGCTTGCCATAGATCATTAATGCCTTTTAGTACAACAGATCTTCGAATAAAGTTTTTACGTGCAGACCTATGGATTTCTTTTACTACTTGGAGCTTGACCATTTTTTCTGTTGGTTACGTTCTGTTCATTCAAGCTCTTAGTGTTAAACTTCTCTTCAAACTGTTTAATTTTGTTGGTGATATCAGCTTTTATTGATTCAATCCAATTATGCAGTTCATGCTTCGTGCACAAGGTTGCAATTTTTTCATCTACGTATTGTTTATTGACAGCGTCATCCTTATCCAAAGGTGTGTTGACTCCAGTTAATCTTGATGATTGTAAATTAAAACACCCACTTTCTGATTTCATTAAAGAGTTTTCCCTAAAATCTAACAGTTCAGACAAACGTAGCCTTTTGTGGACATGATGCCCGAATTTATCAATATTCATTTTTGTTAATTAGAGATCCGATGCAATCAAGGGAGAGTGTGTAAATAAAAAACAATAAACTATGACAACTATTTTATAATTCCGTTTTCACGTAATTCTTCAATAATAGAAATTATTTCATTTTCTACTCCAGTATTTCCTGCTTCTTTAGAAGCTATCAGTAATTTTAATCTTTCAACTAACTCATTAGGATCATCCCAATAAATATAATCAGTATATTTCTTAAACTTTTTCTTAAGTTTTAACCCTTCTCCTTCACTTAAATGTTCTGTTCTAGAAGAAACAGAAGATGTTGACGGTTTACGTAACTTAAATAGCGGTTTTATAATTTGCAAATACTTTCGACCTCGATTAGTTTTTATTGGTTTATTTGGATCATAATCTCTTCGATGAGCATTTGTTTCTAACAACAATGCTTTATATACTTGCGAATCTTTTTCCGTAACCAAATTTAATTCAGGAACTCTCTTGAACAAAAGTTCATATAATCCAGGAGTTTTCTTGTATACTCGACCTGCTACGGATATATTCTCCTCGTGAACTTCCACACGTGAGTTACCCATCAATAGTTTACCTCGTTCTCTTCTGACACCAAATGGCACATCCTCAAACACTTCCGAAGATAATGACCAAGACAAAGCATCTCGGTTAGGACTATGGACGGACTCGACTGTTGCAAACGATGTATCGCTTGTATTATTTTTATTTTGACCATCGAAACTGTTTTCATCAATATTGTCATCAGAATCGCTATCATGGGACTCGGATATGGAATCGTTACGTTTAAAATATGTATTCTCAGAGTCTGTATTCAAATTGTCTTCTTTAGGTACTTCATGGACTTTAGATTTGTTAGATTTTGAAGGATTTGTGTTATGATGAATTATTTGATGAAGTGGTTTAGTGATGGGTTGAAAAACTGTATTTAACATGTTTTCTTGATAAGATTCCCTCATACGCATTTCCTTCAGTTTCTTTTTAACACCTTCTGCAGCTCGAACAACCTCAGCTTTTAATTCCATTTCCATTTTGAAAGAACAGTAGCTTGAGTTATGCAACGTGTTGTATCTTATAGCTTTACTTCTTAAATGAATTGTGTTCTAGATTGAAAGTAACTTTATTTGGTTACTCATCGAAAGTAACGAAGGTGTCGAAGTTCATTCTGTAGCAACCGTCATTCTTTGCACAATCTTTATTAATGACTAAAAAGTTGTATGTATCTTTCCAAATTTTTGAACACATTTCCCGAAATTCTGACCACGACATATCTGTATTCACATGTTCATCATATACATGTCGTAAATTTATATCGTCTTGTTTGAATAATATTATAAGGTTTGCATTGTCTCTTACTAGTTGTTTTGGTATTTTACTATATGTTTGGTTTAAGTAAAAACAATCAATAAATTTATGTCTGCCCATAGCGAAATAATCTCGCATATTAGTTTGATTCTCACAAGCAACATCATCAAAAATTATTACAGAATGGGGCTTAGCATCATGTGGACTGAGAATCAATTCATTATCACTGTATTTTGCAAACGTAACACTAGGTAGCAATTTAAAGACGTTCTCTAAATAAATGTACTTAGTTTGATACAGTGTTTTTGAGTATAAATATACATTCTTAAAATGTAATCCATTTTCATGCAACAGAAGACCTATTATTAAATTTGTTTTTCCACAGTTTGATGGACCGCAAACTAAACACCGAACTGAATTAGGAAGCAAGTTTCCATGTCGAGAAATAACTGTCTTAGCATCTGAACAAATTCTATCCAATTGCAACGTTTCAGATTGTTTTATAAATTTCATAGTAGTAAGCAATTCTTTCGGGTGTCCTAGATAAAGTGAGTCAATTTGTACAAATTTGACTATTTATATAAAGTGCGAGTAATCAGAAACATTTTATGGATTTTCGTCAAAAAACCGTTATCAAATGAATGTAATATCTATTTGTAATATTGGGCATACTGTCATTCCATGAGTGAGTGGCGGCAAAACGCCGACACGAACGAGTGGGGGACAGAATGCCCAATATTACCCTACTCAGATCATTGCGATGTTACATCCGTTAAGTTTAAAATTTTTTGAGTTTAAAATTTTTTGAGAACAAATACAGCATATTATACGAAATGTATGTGAAATTTCGTCAGTTATACTATAGCAGTCCAGCTGACCCCTTGCTTGACTTAAAAGATTTTAAAGAAAAAGCACCCCTCTTTATCTTAGACTGTTCAAGACAAAACGATAGTCTAAAAACAGGTCCAGTGGATGTGAGGTTAGAAATTGAAACTTATACACCAATACCAGATAAAACAACTGCATATTGTTTGATTATTAACGATCGCCTTGTGGAATACAAACCTCTGAGTAATATTGTGCGTAGACTATCATGACTGCCATTGTAGACGTTCAAGGCTTTAAAACAGAAACAAATGAATTTATAATAAAAGAAATTGCTGTACTTTGTAATAAGAAACTGCAAGTGTTTTTGATTAAGCCACCATTCCCGTTTTACGATTTAACAAAGCAGGAAAGAAGACAAGTTGCATGGATTGAACGTAATCGACATATATATTGGAGTGAAGGGTTTATACATTATTCAAATTATCAACATTTAATTTTAGATGTTTTAAGAGATAAGTGTATATACACTAAAGGTCATGAAAAAATGTTATGGTTAAAAAGAATTTTAAATAATAATAATAATAAGAGCGTGTTTAATTTGGAAGATAAAGGTTGTCCTAATTTATTAAGCTTGTATGATCAATATAAATATTATGAAGGCATGTATAATTGTATTTATCATGACTCAATATGTGGTTTAAAAAATGTTTTATGTTTAAATAAATGGTGTATTGATAATAAAGTTTTTCAATAAAATGAATATTCTTTATCTTATGATGCGAAATATCCTTATCCACACCTATAAAAAATTATTAACTCATAAATTTAAGTAACTACCAGATGGATTGAAAGTGTAGAATAGAATATTATTTATGTTTAACCCTAACGGTTCAAAAATTTATTTGACGCAGTTGATTTTGAACTGCTAATTGCTGATCATTACATTGAATGCAGTTAATGTTCAATTGATATATACTGAATAACAGATTGCATCTTATATACACAAAGGCTGCTGCTGCTATGGATAAGCTGTTAATTTTTTTTAAATGGCGGTGTGACGAATAAAATAGAACAGAATAGCCGATAATCTATATTATGAACAATATCATAAATCACGATATTAATGTATGATTAATACACTACTATTTGAGCGTTATTGGATCTCCTTTGATGGTTGAAATAATAAAATGAATAAAGACTGAATAATGAATGACTGAATATGAAAGCAAATTGTACCCATTTCTGAATACAATGAATGATAGGGTGAATTGGGTGTTTCTGGATCTCCTCTGATCCAGAAACCCCAATTTACACCTACTGCTAATTCTTTTAAAATGAACTTATTTTGATAATCTTTAAATCCTTGAATATCGACAAAAACAGTAGAAGTCATGATATTTTACGAACTATATTACTAAGAGGTTTATATTCGACTATGCAATCGTTTAAAATCAAACAATATGCTGATGTCTGGTCCGGTATCTCCTTATGGCTCTCTAATTCTAAGCGAATGTTAATAACGGGTCCTGTTTTTATATTATCGTTCTGCCTTGAACAATCGATTACAAATAATGGTGCATATTCTCTAAATTCTTGAGCACTTAATAAACAACTCGATTTACGCGAATAATAAGACTGCTGAAAATTTGCGAATTGTTCATATATTAAGGCATAGTTGTGCTTTGCAAAGTCGGTATTATAGCTTTCATAAGGGTAATAAATAGAATTTAAATAAACCTTAACATCACGTAGATTACATTGATCAAATTGGGACATATCTTTTGATCCATTATTTTTTCTGTTAGTTTGCAAGCCGAGAATAACATATCTAGGTTTTTCAATCTGAGTAGAAGTTTTAATTGACCATGTATGTTTAGTGGTCTTTGGTAGCATTGGGTATTCGTAAAGATCCCAGTTCCGAAACGTCAATTGAATTGGTTTATCTTTTTCCAGAATTTTGAGTAAGTTGATTTTTTCTCTGTCAGATACTTTGACATGAGGAACACGCCAAATTATTTTATGTATATCAATACTTTCTATTACTTCGTCGTTATTAAGTTTTAAAGCATTGAGGTTTGTATTGCTTCGTTATAGAACAAGCTCATGTTTACAATTTGCTAAAATCTTTTTATAATCTTCAGCAAATCCTATTATGTTACTTTGCGGTATTGATACAGAGAAGTGACCACCGATAGTATTTTTTAAACCCTGTATATTCCAACCCCAGACTTCAGATATCTTCGATTCTGTTTCATTCATGGAGAGCAAAGATTTAATAGTAGTTGTTATACTAGCATTTTTCACTTTATCTATTTCAACACCGTTTAACTCATAACGTATGGCTTGAAACAAGTACATCAACGCGTTATTAGTAAAATGAAAAGAAGGCACTCTTTCTTTTGTACCTTTATCTCCAAATTTGATCACATTTACCACTCCTTCAATATACAAGGTGCTTGCATTTGGAAGCACATATAAGTCTTGTTGATTTACCGGTATTCTTATTTCATCATTTCTATTGAAATTTGTTATGTATGGTTTATAAGATTGAGTTTCGATGCACTCTATAGAATTGTCATATGCAGGTGGATTTGTTATATTTAGAATATTCATTTAACAATCCAATCAATTTCAAAAATGCTTTATTTTGTGGAGTTAGTTTAATATTAGCAGAAGAATATGTGTTCTTGCGAAGTGATCGAATACCACTAAACTTGTGACTATGAGATGATACGTTTTTATTGTAATCAATCATGGTTTTTTATATGTAAGTATAAATTCACTTCTTTTCCTCGAAGGTCAACAGGATTATTATACAACGTGTCCCAAAATTCAACGATAAGCGGGCGCCAAGAGGTAGACCTGCTCATGTGTACTTATGGAAAAATAAGAAAAAATTATATCTTATTAATCTTTTTTATTATAAAATTAAATTCGAAAATCTTCGAAAATTTACACCTTTTATGATATTTTCAACTACCACGACCACAACTTCTCAATTATGTTCAATCTTTTTTTGGTATCGGATACCTAAGTAGCACTACTATTCGCTACAACTCTTAAAAACACCAAAATGCCCGCAGTTTTTACACAAAAAACAATTAAAATTTATTTTTTCCTTAAATTTTCACAGATTTTTACGTTCCGTAATCTTTGACTTACGGTCTTGTAAAAAAAAAAATATGGACACCACTGTGGCAAGTTGTTTTTAAAATTGACTGAACTCATCAAGATTCCAAAATGGTTTTACTCAAAAAAATTGACGGAGACTCAAACTAGATATAGCACATATGACTGAGAATTATTAACTATTTATTTATCTATAAAATATTTTAGTTATATGGTGGAAAGTAGACAACTAATTGTACTAACCGATCATAAACCATTAACATACGCACTAACAAAAAAGTCTCACCATCAGATTCACCTAGACGATTGAGACAATTAGATTTTATTTCACAATTTTGTGATAAAATTCAATATATAGCAGGTGATAAAAATATAGTAGCTGACGCTTTATCTTGGATAGAGGCAATAACAATACCTTCTCTATTAAACTATGAAGATCTGGCCGAGGAACAAAAAAAAAGATAAAGAATTACAAAGTCTCATTAAACAAAAAAGTGATCATTTAAATTAATTACAATTCCAGACTCTGATATTCAAATGACTTGCGAAATATCAACTGATAACATTCGCCCTTACTTACCTGCACGGTTTCGGGAATCCATTATTAAAAATATACATGACGTCAGCCACCACGGAATCGCGGCAACAAGGCGATTGCTTAAATCTAGGTATTTTTGGACCAATGTGAATAGCGATATAAAAATTATGTCCAAAGTTCCATTCCTTGTGTTAGCTTTTATCATAATCGACACCATAATATACAAATCTTTCATTCATTCGATTATTCGTGAAGCATTCGGAAATCGATATTAGTATGTTACGTCAATACCTGCTACAGTGTACAGCGGGCATTCTTGTTTGAGACGAACAGAATATAAGATAATTTCTTCAAATTGCTATGTAAGTACAGAAATATGTATTCTAATTTTAATGATGTTAATTACTGTGATAAAGGGATTTAAATACATTTATGTTTAGATAATATGTGTGGTATTAATTCTGAAACCCTACTTGCGAGCTGTGGCTAACACTTGTCAAAAAAGTAAAATACAAAGCCACACATTTACACCGATAGGCGAATTTGATTGTGCGTCACGCTTCGAACAATTCTACTAAATAAATTTTGTTTAAATCGAATCGAAAACGGAACGAAACCGAACGAAACTACAACTTTTAGTGGTTTTCCTATTCTACTCGGTGTCAAAATGGCGTCAAACGATACAGTTCCAGTTCTATTTTAGTTTAGCTAACTATCGATCAACAGAAACTGTAAACGGTATTCTACTCGCTCAATCGAACTTAGATGTAGTTATGCAAACCGGAACCAACCCACAAATCTGTCAAAATCGAGTTATGTGCAGAGAAGCCTAAAAGTATTGCAATTAAACTCACATGTTGTAAATTCACAAAACTTCTTGATAAATAAATAAAATAAAATATATTCTACAATAAATTATAACTAAAAACAAGAAACCCATTTTTCTCAAAACTGACATCATTTGGCTGGTTTGCATAACTACGTCCATATACTTAAGTCGATCGTCGGCCCTTATTCCACTAAAATTTTGACACTTCTATGGATCGAAATGCTACTGAAACGTTACTAAATCCGAACGTTTCATCTGTCAAAATTAACGATTTCTAAAAAGTTGCAAATTTCTACTTTTTGATGATCGATAATAATGATAGATGTGAAACAATTTATATTATTTAAAATCTTAAAGAGGTGCAATTAGGTACCCCCAATTGCTGAGTGAAATAAAATACCTTGATCCATCTTCAGAATTGATAATTAAAAACATTTTGCCCTACAAAACTAACTTCGGCAAACATTTGTAGTGTTTGTGAATGAGTTATCAATAGACTGTAAAGAACATAATAAGTTGTGTAAATCCATTGATATGTTAATATACAAAACCTGGGTATCAAACACCAGATTCCTCATCTACCTCATGAGAACATAGCAATCCATGTGATATAAATTATGTATAATGACTAGAAAAAAAATGAAATCGAAAACAATGGAGCTAGATAAACAAGTGTGATAGTGCATGCATATGTTTAATAAACTTTTTATGTTTACCATTTCATCTATTTGTTATAGATAGTTCTGTATTTTTAATTTTATTTGTGGTCGCTTATTGATATGTAAAAATGTTGGCAGACTTTAAAAATAAAATAAATTATATCTTGATTATTAATCTTAAATTATTATTTTTTATTAAAAACTTACATTTTATAGATAAATTAATAGGTTTTCATTCCTCTCTCAATTTGAAATGTTGAATTCATATTATGTAGATTCTTAACATAAATAAGGTCCACCTAGTTGAGGCATGTAATGTAAATTAAAATCGAAAAATTATATTTGTGTTAAAACTTTACATAATTATAAACAATCATTGTAAATAGGAACATCGTAAAAATCATTATTAGATTGTAGGGGCTTTTGGCTTTAAGTAAACTTATCTATGATTATAAAAACATGAATTTTTGAATATTTTGTATTGTAAAAAGTAAACTATTGTAGTATTTTTACAGGAAAACTTAAAAGTGTGTATTTACAAGCATGTGTGGAATTCCAATAAAAAAGGCACCGAAAAAGTCATTGTTTACAAATTAATT